GACAGTTCCTCCAGCAGAGCTGTGTATAAACACAGTGAGAAGAGTGTTCCTAGGCAGCAGTGGTGGAGTTTCTCCCAAGCAGCAGTAAGAAGAGAAGCTGTGTTTGTGGAAGGTGCCCCAAGTCTGTACAGTTTGCTGGTGTCATTCTTTATAACAGCTTCTACTTTAGATGCAGCTTATCTACAAAAGCATATTTTTGCTGATAAATCTTATTCCATCCTCCAGGCCCAACTTCTACCTCCTCACCAGTGGAGGAAAATAAATGGGGGCACTTGCATCAGTGCTGATGTGCAGCTTTGTCACACCTGTATCACAACGTAGCTCTGTTGGCGGAAAAGCTGCTGAGTGTCACTAATGTGCAGACAGACCTGCAAGGTACAAACTCTTCCACTGACTTAGGGGAAATGGCTCTGTTTCTTCAGCAGAGGAGCTCCATGTGGTGACCTAGTGGTGGTCCCTGGGAGCTGCAAGAGAGAACAAGAAGGGTTGTGGGTAGGAATCAGAGGAGATGGGAACATCTGGAGGAGCTTGGTCCTGTCTGCAGGTGGCTGGGAAGAGAGAAGTTGTGCTGCCTTCCCCTGCCCTGATGCTTATTGCTTACTGGTGGTCTGGGACATCTCCAGTGTGGCAGGAACATGTGGGTGACGTGGCTGTTACCACTAGGAGATCTCTTTTGGGCAGAGAGCTGTAGTCAGACATGTGAAATCCATGGTGTTGGCTTTCACTTTTCAGTTGTACAGCTTTTAAGGTTGTTATTGACATCCATATGATTTTTGCTGCCTTAAACTAGCTGCCTTCTCATCGCCACTGAATTCCTGCAGTTGTATCATCCTTTTCTTTCTTCCATCTCTTACTAGGATTTCTGTAAATCATTGAAGAGATTGAAGGGCTTCATGCTGAAGAACTGTTGGCTGCTCTGAGCTTATCTAGTGAGCAGGGAGCCTCGTCCTGCAGTGTTTCCCCCTCATTTGAGTCAAAAAAAGCTTCTGCCCACCTCTGATGTGGTGTGGAGAGGCGAAGAAATAATCAGCTGGATTCCTTCTCCCTGGCACTTGGGGGATTTCTCCAGTGCCCAGTAGCGGTCCAATTCCAGCCCATCAAGGTGGTGTTCTAGCAGACAACAGTTAGGAACTGTGGGTTAACATCGCTTTTTTTTCTGGGATTTGTTTATCAGTTGTCAGAAAATAAATTGCCGGTGATTAATGGTATTAGAATACATATATTTAATACAGTTGTGTTGGTATGCAGGGCCATAAAAGTTCTAAGCACAGGACCAGAACTGCTGAAGTTCCAGGTCCTCTTCCCTCTGTCAGTGCTGGTATTGCTGCATGGACTTGGTCAAACTGCTCCAAATCAGCATAATGAGAATCTGTCCATGTGTTTCAACAGGAAATCATTCCCATCCTGCAGGTGGAAAGGATGTACTAATGTGGCACAGCACCTTGAAGCAAGGAAAACTGCAGCTGTAAGGTGTCTTTTCTTGGAGAGAATTACACAACAGATACATAAGCTGTTGGGATCATTCTTGGTTAAGGAAGTGAAGTGCTTTGGGGTCCTGCAGCACTGGCTGTTGCTGAGCCCTTCAGATGGACTCTGTGCGTGCCCCTGGATTTCTCCAGGAGCTGTGATATGGTGCTGCTGGCAGCAATTGGGTTCTGGAGTGAGATGTGCCCAGACCAAGGCCACTTGCAGAAGAGCTGATTTTGAGGCTGTAGTGTTTGTTGGCCGTGTTCTTGGAGCATCCTGGACTGTCTTCTGATATCAGCAGACCTTCATCTATGTGAAGTTCCAGCAGGGACGCGTGGTGCTGGGATTGTAGTTGGAGAGCATCAGCACTTACTTAGTGATGCTTTTAACAGCCGATAGCTCTTCTAGTGTTGTCTCCAAAGATTCTTTTGCTACTTTTTTTTTGCTAGTCTGGGATCTTTCAAGTTATTCTTTGCAGCTGTGAAGGTCAGAAATATGTTGCTATAAACATCTAAGCTGTGATTCTCTTGCAGTAAGCGCTGCGCTTCCCTTAGTGCCTCTGCTGCCTCTGACCCTGGTCTTGGTCCTGAGCAGATGCTCACAACTACTGTGAGGGTGCTAAAGTACCTGTAAGCAAGCAGCGAGAGCTGGCAGCATTTCCTTTTTGTTCAGAATAAGTTGAAACTGTGATACCTGGTCTTACTCCCACATCTACACAGCCTTGTTCAAAGGTTCAACTCACTGATGCCTGCTTCCCCCAGCAGTAGTCCATCTGGAGCACAATTCACACTGAGTTTGGAGCTCAGCACTTCTGAAAGATCAGTTTGCAAATCTATCCCCCTCTCTATCTGAGGAGTGAGAGGGTAATCCCAAATTCATTGCTGTTAGGCAGCTTTGCAGTCCAGAGTGTGTTACATATGGTGGCTGGGCAGCTGCTGCTCTCTGGCTGCCGTGGTAAACCAGTCTGGGGAATTTTTACCATTGCCCTCTATTCATGGGGCAGTTCTGTGGCATTGTCCTGGGAGGGCCCTGAATTGCTGCGTAGAAATGGAAACAGCCACCAGGGATCTCTTCACCAGGTTACCTGCCAGGGCAGCTGGATTGTAAACCCACAGTCTGAGCTGGAAATCCCACAGCTTCTCTTCCCTAGCATTGACCTGGAATTCATCTGGCTGTCTGCCACGTGCTAAATAAACCCCAAGTCGTGTTGGAGGCTCCTTCTTCCCCTTGAATCCCAGCCCCTTTCTGGGATAGCAACCCACAGGCCAGATTTCTGCTGGTGAGATTTGTAAGCAGCCAAGTTAGAGCCCCTTGAAACTGGATACGAGTGGGAATTCCTACAAGGCCCCTCCAGCCTTGCTGGCTGGGACATCCTGGGCTGAGGGCGGCTTGGCTGGGAGCTGGCTGCTGCTCAGCGCGCTCAGACCCAGCTGGGACAGTTGTTGGTGTTTCCTGATGAGCGATGAAAAGGGCTGGATAGGTGTGTTCCATGGAGTGAGGCAGAGATCTGCCTGCCTGCTTTCTGCTGTGTGGTGGTTTATAAGGAAATCTGAGTTGTGCTTTAGCTTCAGGCTTGTTCTTATATCTTTGCCTTCCTGCTTTTTTATTTTGTTTTCATGTTTTAATCGGGAATCTCAAATTCCACCTTCAAGCAATGCCTTTTTACCACTTGTGTCTTCCCTCTGACTTGGTGCTTAAGATGCAGTCCTCGCAATTAGGTCTGGGCTCTTGGTGCTGTGGTGCACTGCTTGTGCCAGGCGTTGCCTTTCTCATGGGGAGGGGCACTGAGTCTGAATTTTCCTCGAGAGAGATTGCATTTGAAAAAGCCCATTCTGATGGCATTGTAAGTGGTATTTGTTGCTTTAAAAAAACCTGTGTTTAGACCTAGTGGGAAGGAGTCAAGGACTCACAGTCATCTGCATGCGGTTGATGAAGAGGAGCTGCCTGGGTTGTTGTGTGTATTTCAGTTTAACTTACTCCCTTTGGTTCGTTTTTCTCATTTCCTTTGCCAGTGGAGGCTCTAATAGAGACAGCGGAGGGGTGATTCATGCTGAGGAAGGAAATTATCTCTTATCTAGGTGCTAAGCCAGTCCTGCCAGCACTGACTTTATCCTTGAGAGGCAGCAATGTTGGTCTAAAAGGCAAATATTTATTCTTTAGAGTGTCTGAAATTGATCTGAAATCTGTGTGTCTGTTGCAGTTTCCTATGGGAAGCTACACCTCTGTGTGTTCACACAGCACAGCGGGATCCAGCTTGTTCTGGAGGAGTGCAATTAAAACTTGTAGAAATCTGTGTAACGTTGGCAGCAGCTGAGCAGTTTTTTCTCCCACCTCAGTTACAGTGGGCAGGGTTAGTGTATAGTAGGACACTTCGGGAAGCTTTCACAGCAGCAGGTAGAATGTTTTCCTGGCTCTTTTAAAAGCTGCAGTAGAAATTCTGCCTGGCTTCCGACGGTCCACCTCCTTCCACCTCGTCCCACCTCAGTGATCGCCCAGAATGCAGCACAAACAGAAAGTGAAACTGCTTAGATTGTGTTGTGTGTGCTGAGATGCACAGAAAGTGAGAAAGGTATGGCAGGACAGCACAGATGAGCTTTGTGGTCCTGTTTTTGTCATCTTTATAGCGAAAGCTGTCAGTGCTAAGGATGAGCCAAGCCAGTCTGTGTGTAATTACCTTCAGACAGTGACTTTGTTAGGGATATTTGACTTGGGATGTATGTTCTTATGCTTAACAGGGAATTTCTTATTAGAACGTGAAAATTAGATGAGTGAATCTGTTGCAGTTAACCTAATCATTTAAAATTTTGTTGGGTTCCTTTAATTTCTACTGTAAAAGTCATTGAATTCCAGACCTGGGATGCCCTTTTTGCACAGCATCAGTTAGTATTCTGGCTTGGAGCACTTGCTGGTATTGGATACGAAGGAAGCTATTTTGGAAGGCTTTTGTAGTATTTGTGTTTTATTTCCTACCTCGCCATTTGGCAGTAGCTCATACTTTCCCTTTCCATTAGGGAAGTTGATGTGACTTGAGCTACTGAGCTGAACATTGCCCTGCCATATCTAGCCTCATAATTACTTTTGCTGTCTCCTTGGGCTCTTCCATATCTGAAGGAGGAAAGCAAACCTTGTGGCTAACCTGAGCACAGTCCTAGGAGCTCGCAGCGCCGAGCTCAGCCATGGCACAGATAACGTCTTTGACCTAAGCCAAGCGTGTCATGTGGGACTTGGTCCTGCGTTGACTTGTGCATAGTCGGTGCCCTCCTGTTGAATTGGGCTAGCATTAGGTTTGGCATCTCTCACTGGAGCCTCGATTTCTTTGTCTTTTTTTTACAATGCATCTTTTCCTCAAAAGGTAATGGAATTCCTTAGCTGTAAGAATGATTGTATGCATCTGCTGGGCATTAGCCATCTGTGTATATTTGATACATCTGTCAGTTTCACATCTAAGATGCGTACAGCTCCCAGTGAAGGAATTTCTGCTGTTTAGATGGTAAGTGGGACGTGAGTTAACCTCGTGTGTCTGGCTCTTTCAGAACAGGGCGGTCGGACGGCCCAAAGGGAAGCTGGGCGCTGCCTCTGCGGTGAAGCTCGCAGCTAACCGGAGCACGGCCGGGGCGCGCCGCAGGAGGACGCGATGCCGCAAGTGCGAGGCGTGCCTGCGGACAGAGTGTGGCGAGTGTCACTTCTGCAAAGACATGAAGAAGTTTGGGGGGCCTGGCAGGATGAAACAGTCCTGCATTATGAGGCAGTGTATCGCAGTAAGTAAACCTCTTGCTACAGTTCTTGTGGAGATTTCTTTCTTGTGTTGGCATCTGGTGACAAGGTGTGGAATTGAGAGCTATTTACTGTGAAGTTTCTGAAGTGCGTTGGGTAAAACAGTGTAATTTGCACCCTTGCAGTTCAGATGATCTCTTCTTCCCATCGCTTTTGATTTATCCCAAAGTTTCAAACCAGAGCACTCCTAAAATGTACTTACGTGGCTTCCATTCTCAGTAGTATGGAAGGTTGATGTGGTTATAATCAGTAAACCAGAAATTGGCACTCATTCGCTCTGAGATTCTGAGATTTGGGGGAGGAGGGGAGAAGTGTGAAGCTCTCATTAAAAGGAGAAGAGGCCTTTTTGGTTTGGGCCTCTGAGATTCTTGCAGCGCCTTGCAATGGTCTTTACCATCTTAGCTGCTTAACTCCTTTAAGATATGGAGAAATCTTTGACTGGCATCCTACAAGACTTTGTCATTGGTGGCCACAGGCTACTTGGGATGTGAATTTCGATTCATTTCCACTTACGTACGTATATGTGAGGTTTTGATGAAGAAGTGCCAGACAGCCACGTAGCCTGGCGTCCTTTCTCCCTCAGGGGCTGGATGGGGCTGCTGGGAGATGCTGAGCATCAGAACAGGGCTAGCAGGTAGTCAGAGACACTTTCCTGAGCTACTGTGATATATCACCCAGAAGATTCTGTAGTCATAAGAGAGAGCTTTGTATTTAACACATATTGACAGGTTAGTCTTCCATGAGGTTCTGAATCATTGCTTTCGTATCGACTCTCACTGAGCTTCTCCTCGGGCTTTTTGTCCACAGTGGTCTCAAGCAAGGGGAAAAATTGATGTTAGCTTTTCCCTTAATTCTTCAGAAAGGTCTTATTTGTAGTGTTGTTGGAGGTGGGTTTTTTTGTTTGTTTTTTAAGGAAAGCAATGTTGTGCTTTCATAACTGAAATGCTATGCTATATGCAAGCTATGCTGATTTCTCTCGATTTAGTCTTGTTATGGTTACTTTCACTTACATTTTTTTTTATATTTAATTCTGATGAAGAAACTGAAATGGTGGCAGTAAATGGCTTGGGTCGGGTTTTAAAAACTGGTAAGCACTTAGGGTTTCCAGTAGGTACTCGTGGTTACTCACACCATGTCCTGTGCCAAGCCATGCAGTGCTCTTGATAGAGGATTGGATTTGGCTCTCCTGGATCTTTTAGTAAAGTACATAGAATATCTACCTTTCCACAGAGTGCTTTTGCAGCTCAAGTGTCTTTTCTTTGAACACTTGATTTCCTGGAGTGTGGCATGAATTGAACAGCGTGGATGAAGAATTTATTATTCTCCAAGGGAAGAAATAGAGAAATCGTGCTGCCTTTTTAGTTGGGAGATTACATTAGGGCTGCAGCACGCTGCCTTGTCCTGACTGATGGAGCAAGTTTTCGTAGGAAGGTGTTTGAATCTTCACATGCATGCTGAGCTTTTTGGAGGAGATGAACTTGGTTCTCAACTTCCTCTCTCTTACAAAAAAATATTTTTCTTTTTTGCTTGATATCTGCTGTTTTATTTCCAGGAGTTGTGTTTGCAGCACAGAACTTAGTAGCCAGGGTGCTTTGATTCTTTGTCCCACCCTTGCATGTGCTCAGGAGGTCTCTCTGTTCTTTGTGAGTCCTCCTTGGAGAAACAGTGGGAATGTTGCAGACTTTCTTAGAACAGCAAAAGGGTGGAAAAATAACAAGTTGAACTGTTGTACAGTACCTTACATTTCTATGAGCAATCCTGTTGTCTTTACTCTTGTTCATTATGTTGTCTAATAATCACAGTAGTGATATATTGTGTTGCACGTCCAACAGCTTCCAGCTAAAAGAAGCCACCAAAGCAAGGCTCTGTGAAAGTAATGATCTCCACAGTTCTGGGATTGTGCTTTCCTCTGGTTAATAACACTGACAATAGGCAATAGGCACAGACTTTCATTAAACTCCAAAGCTTTAAGAGAGGCTGTACTGCCATTCAGAGAACAGGAAACTCCTCTGCATCACTAGTTGAATCAAGAAGGGAAGCAGGAGTGCCAGGGACACTTGAGGCTGTCTGAAGGGAGTGTGGGGGCTCTGCTGGGAAGCTAGGCTATAATAGCAGAGCTTCTGCTCCAGTCTGTCAGTGGGACACAGCTAATTGGGGCACAAAGAGATTCCCTACACACCCTTGCTTCCAGCAAGACTAATCGTGCTGTTGCTGGGATGTTTGTTCCTTGTGTGCAGTTGTAGATGGTTGTCGTGTGGGAGATCGGACAGAACAAGTGGACAGGGCCGTCCCAGCTCTGGGTGCCTTGGCTTTGTTCTGGTTTACCTGCCAGTGGAATGGAATCCTGGGGATTCCTACTGTGTGTGTGGAGGAGGGTTGGGAATTTAATAGCATTGGCTGAATGCTGTTAAAATGGAGCGTGGGTAAGTACTGACATGAGAAAGCAGAAAGTATTGCCATAGCTTGTGTCTGACGCTGGGACTTGGGGCAGCACACTGTGCTCTGTGATGGCTTAGCATGGTTTCTTTTCTCTGTCTGAAACTTCCTGAAGGGTGAATTGTTGCTACATAAATTTGATTCAGTGTGCAGTTTTTCACTTGCAGACTTTATTCACTCCTTCAGTGAGAGATCCTTGCCATGAAAAGCCACACCTGTGCATCTGGCTACTTGATAGTTAAGTTGGCATCCTTATCAGTATAATTCACATTATGGCCAGCTTCTTGTGAGGGTCTTCCTTTTATTTCTTGTAAGGAGGCTTGTACCTTACTGTGGCAAACTAGAAGTATGTTCCCACTGTCATAAAGGTAGCTTTCTAATTAGACTGGCATTCAGTGCTTTGACATAGGTGATGGATATACGATATGCTGCCATTCCCTTTCTCCCTCAGCAAAGGACAGAAAATAACTGCAGTTGTGGCACTTTAGGCAGAGAAATCCTCTTTTTAAGTATCTGTGCAGTGCTTTCTGCACTGCTCTCGTTTGGACCAGGGCCTCCTATAATGGACTGTCAGTCAGCAAAAGGTCTGTTCTTAGTCCTGTTGTAGGCTTGCCATGAGGGCTGGATGGGTCCCATAACATCTGTCTGCCCTGCTTGTAAAACAGGGGAGCTGCCAAATTGTTAGACTGTGAAGCTTAGTGGATGTGAATAGTGATGTTCTAGGTTACTTCTTTCCCCTCCCATTGTACTGTAGTAAAGAGACTCTTGTGCCAATGTCTGTCAGCTCACAGATTAAAGAGACCTTGGGAAAAAAAAAAGTCATTTTCATCCTTGCAATTCCCCATGGACTTCTGCTGCAGCAGGAAGGGCACTTTCATTCCCTGAACATGTCCTGTGATGCTTGCTCCGGGTATCCAGCCCCAGTTGTTACCAGTTTTTCTCGCCTTTGTTGATCTGCTGGGATGGAGCCTTCAGCAGTTTGCACAATTAAGCCCTGTTTATCTTCCCTTTGGAATGAAAATACTGTAAATGCATTTTGAATTCTTCTGTTCCCATGTGTCTTATGTGCCCTGATCAAGACTTCCTTCTGATATGTGTAAACAGCCGGTGTTGCCTCATACTGCTGTATGTCTGGTGTGTGGAGAAGCTGGGAAAGAGGACACTGTGGAAGAGGAGGAGAGCAAGTTTAATCTCATGCTAATGGAATGCTCCATTTGTAATGAAATAATACACCCAGGATGCCTTAAGGTGAGTGAAAGGATGAAATACCTGTTGGAAACAAACAAACAGAAAGATTAGATACCACCTGAATGTAGAAGTAGGGCACAGAAATTAAGAAATTTTCACATTTTCACCTTTGGGAACTACATGAACCCAGAGTTGGTGTGAGAAACAGGACGGATAGCTGTGGTGTGAATGGTCCTGTCTGAAGGAGGGTCCTCCTTCTGATGTGACCAGCCTGCTCGAAGCAAGGCAGCAACATGTGGGTGTATGTTTGTGGTTTATTTCATTTATTTACTGCTTCTTGTCTAAGGGAGTGTAAGGAAGTAAGGCATCTCAGTTGGCAAGCTCCAGAGGACAGAAGAATCTACCTGTAGCTTTGGATGACTTATTTGCAGCCCTGTATCAGCAGAGTACAAATGAGTGGTTTGCTGTTTGTGTTTGTCCAGGCACAGATATGCCTTTTAGTGGCAGCTGGCCTTAAGGGTGGGAGCAGACATTGCAGTAGGAAGACTGCAGCTCTAGAGAGCAAACTGGGCAAGTTTCAGGCTGAATGGAGTATTGTGAACAACTGTTCTCTTGGTTGGTAACAGAAGTGTATTTTTGGGCACATCCCTGTGTCTGAGCACTTAGAAGCCTGCTTTCTCCAAAACTGATTGTGTCTTGGCTGCTCAGTCGTTCTCTGTTGCTGATTTGTTTATGGTTGAAGTGATTTTTGCCTTAGCAAATGTATTCTGATGTACCATGCCCTAGAAAGAAGCCCTTGGTCCCTCTGGGCATGGAGATGTGTTCCTTATGCAGGCCTGGGGTGATGCTGTCCCGGCCTTTCACTGCTTCTGTGCTGTATGCCATGTTGCACTGAGGGATGTGTGTGACTTGCTGGAGCAGAAAGCAGGTAGCTGGCAAGCCAGAATTACCCTGAAGAGTGGGGTACCTGCAGCTCCTGCCACAGATGGGCTCTGAACAGGAGCTTGGTGTGCTTGGCTCTGCATAAAGTAAGGCTTCAAAGGCTGAAGAAGCAAGGGAAGGAGGAGCTCATTTCCAGAGGAACCTCAGTTCTGTCTTGCAGCTGCTGCTCTTCTGTTCCTTCCCCCAAGCGCCCTGCACTCCCCTTCCTTTCTGGCAATGCCAGCAATGCCTCGTATCCAGGTCCTGAGGACAGGGTCACTGTTTGGTGACAGTTGAAGTATGGCTTCCTCTCACTGTCCCACGTCTGGACCCATTTGCACAGGATGTGGGTCAGACCTGTGAAATCAGGCAGGGGCCGTTTGTTCTTTTAGGCTTATAAAAGATGTTCTAAGTGCTGTTTTGATAACTAGGAGCACAGAATTGCTTGAAATATTTCTGAAAGTTAAATAATGGGAGATTAGCAGTGTGCTGCGTGTGTCTTTTACTTCAGTTTCTCAGTGCATCTGCTGAGCTGGAATGGGTGGATAACTATTGATTATTTACAGAAACAAAAGGGCAGCAGGAGGATTTCAGAATCATCATTTTAGAAGATGAGAGGAGACTGTGGAGAAGCACAAAAGAAGAACAGAATCTCTTCCTTGTTTCCCTCATTGCTGCTTATTGCCAGGCTCCATAGTTGTCTGTGGGACAAAGGGATGCCCTGTTTATGAGGTGCTTGAGCCCTGGTATGGGCCGAGCCCTCAGTCTGCGTGGAAAACACCTTTGGAAACAGATGCAGCCCAGGGTTGTGCACCAAGAGGAGGTCCCATCCTGTCTTGCTCAGGCAGCACCACGTGTCAGCCATGGCTTCATCTCCAGCAGGCATCTGGCACGTGTGATCTCAGGCAATGCAGGGCTGTGTGTGTCTGGTTTGGAGCTCATCCTCTTCCAGCTTCACTGTTTGACTTTGTTTGTGGTCAGTGAGTTTTCTCCATGAAACAGCAGAAGACCTCGTAGGGCATCTGATCGGTCTGCCCTCTGCCATTGCCTAAGAGCTGAGCTGGCTTCAGGGGAGTCTTGAATGGCATTGCTAAGGGCTGACTGTCCAGCTTCTTTCTTCTGAATAGTTCCTTGAGAAAATCATCTTGGCAAGCCTTTCATAAGCCCAGTGTTGCTTTCAGAGGGAGCTTCTGAGATTTTCAGAGGGATATTGTTTTTTTCTGTTGCAGGGCATTTGTATTGAACCAGTATTGATGGATTTTTCTTGCTGTGAGTCAGATCCTTAGTTGCACAGGTGACCAAGTGCATGATCTGATGCAGTTTCTTTAAGAAGAATTTTTCTTCATAAGAATCCTGTTCTTTGGTAGATAGAGTGAGACTGATAGAAATGAGGGAGTATTCTAGGTGCATTGACAGAACAGCAAAAATAAATAACTGAGAAAACAAAGACCTCCTCCAGCACAGCTGCTTTTCTGCCACTGTCTTCAGACCAGGTGTGTTTCTACCTGCATTACTTCAGCCTCTGCACTGTCAGGACTCACAGCTCTCACCTGCTGATAACAGATTGGCTCCTGGGGTCTCTGTATTGTCTGATTCAGTCTTGTGTTCAGGCTGTGAATGGCTGCCTGGTGCTGCAGGCATGCAGTGGAGGTGCCTCCCACCGTGGCTCAGACGCCCACCTGCTGCTGGTAGCAAACATGCAGAACTGGCTCCCACCCAGCCTAGAAGGCTTGGGATGGATTCAGTGGCAGGTTTGTTTGTGTCTAATTAGTTTGCTTACAGTTCCTCACATCTGTTCAGTTCCTTAAACTCCTCAGAAGGGACGGAGCTGTAATGCTTTCCCTTTGGTAGCATTTGTTCTGTATTCAGTGCGGGAAATAACTTGTTCCCAACTTGGGCTTGAGCCAGGAATTGCTCCCCTGAGGCAGAGATGTATACAACAGCTCCTGGAGTATCTTACACCTACCATGGGAAAGAAGGTTCAAAGGCACACAGTTGTGATAAAACCAGTATTTAAATTCTGCCCACTTCATTTACTCGTTTATTAACTCCCAAAGACTTGCTGAGAAAGGCTGACATGTCATCACTCCTGCTGGATGGTGAAACTCGAATGGCTGCTGTCTGGCTCAGTTCTGGAGGAAGCAGTTCCCTAAATCCCAGGGCTTGCTCCTGCACAGCTCACACGTTTTCACTGAGCTGGGAGGAGGAAATGCTTCAGAAACAAGAAAAATCTGCAGAGCTCTGCCCTTGCCTGTTCCAGCAGCCGGCTCCTGCTACTGTACTGCTGATGCCAGTGCCCAGCTGTTCATCTTGACTGCAGACAGCAGAACCGTGCTACTACAGTAATAAAATGTTTTCTTTTTTCCTTGAGGCTTTTGCCTAAGTCATAGAATCATAGGTCCTTTCCAACCTTGTGATTCTGCAGGATCATCTAGTCCAACCTGTCACCATTACTACCCACCAAGCTACTGAACCATATCTCGTAGCACCTCATCCAGACACCTCTTGAACACCACATAATTAATCCTTAAGATGCGACCGTGCCATCAGTGAGCTTATGTCTTTGTGTGGAGGCTGCTTTTTAGCTTAGCTCTACTGTTCCTCCTCGGCTTCATTCAAAGAAACTGCTTTTCAGAAACACCCTTCTCCTGTCTGGAATGTAATGAGGGCTCCTCTGCAGAAGTTCAGGAAGCAGGAGCCGTGTGGGGCAGGGCTGTGCTTTCCTTGTGATGTGACAACACCAAATGGGCGTTTTTCAAAGAGCAGAATGTCACAGTCTCTCAGAGGCAGCAAAGCAGTAAGCACTTCTCTTCCTTACGCTAGCTGGGGGTGTCAGAAGCCCTGAGAATGTTTTTGTTTGCCTGGACCTCTGAATAGAAGTTTGCTGTTCTCCAGCTGGCTTGGCAGCCAGCGTTCTGCTGGCACGTGAGCCTGGGGGCTGTGCACACGGGGCTGCTCACTCTGAGCCGTAAAGAAAAATATTGTAAGGCACACTTGATTACAGTGCAGGGTGCTCTGCTTCTAAAAATGCCCAACAGTATTAATGTATGAGAATGTATGGGAAAAATCCCTTCCTATTGAGGCAGAGGCTGTGCCTCACTTCGGGGAGGGAAATGGCTTTTTAGATCAGGGGTGTGGGAGGACGTTTGGAGATGGCATGATTACAGTCGGGACGGCGGGTGGCTTCTTTCCTTATCATTTTTGTAAGAGCAGAATGTGCCCTGCAGTAATTGGGATTGTCCCTGACCTTCACACAAAGCCCAGACCCAAAGCCTTTATCAAGGACCAGGTTGGCCACCACACATTCCTCCCATGGATGTTATATTGAGGGTGATCCTGTGGGGTGTGCTCTGCTCCTGCAGGGAGCCGGGTTTCTTTCCTGGGGCTCTTGGGAGGGCAGCAATCGATCAGAGAAAACAGAGCTGTGAGAAGTGCCTCTGAGTGGTCTACCTGTAGACTTCTGCAGCTTCTTTGAGCTTGTCTGTGAATTGAGTTGTGCCTCTCTTTCACCAGGTGAAGGAATCAGATGGTGTGGTTAACGACGAGCTGCCGAACTGCTGGGAGTGTCCAAAGTGCAACCATGCAGGGAAAACTGGAAAAGTGAGTTTAATGGGGATAAGTGGTGCTGGAATGAAATACAAGATCTCAAACGTTCCCTCTGGCTTGTAGGTATAATTTTGCCCAGTACCGCTTTTGTTTTTGTGTTCAATTCAGTTGAGTCAAAGGAAATAAGCTGTTGGCTTTCTGTTCCCTAATCATCTTTTATTTTTCTTCCACGCACTAACACTTCACCCAAAACCTGGAGAGTGTTTAGGTTAGTTCTGTGCATTGCTGCATGCTAAATTCTAAGATAACTCTTTGGATTGTGTAAAAAGGAAAGAAAAAAGGTCATGCGAAACCTGAAGTGTCTATTGGAATTAGGGAAGCTTTTTTTTGTTTTCTTTTGTAAAGCAAGGGGCTGCAAGTGTGCATAAAAACTTCTTAAAGGTTGAAACTGCTTCTACTGTAACTCCATGTTAATGATTTTGTCTGTTACAAAGTGATCAACCCACCAGTGCTGGAGGCAACGTACATAAATAGCTGAGAAAGGCATAAGATATAAAGTTTGTTTGTGTTTTGTGTCTCTTTGGCGTACAAGCAAAAGCGCGGACCAGGATTCAAATACGCATCAAATCTCCCAGGCTCATTGCTGAAGGAACAGAAAATGAACAGAGACAATAAGGAAGTAACAGATGCTGCAAAACGGAAAGGGGACTGTGAAGAAACTCCCAGGCGGAAATCTGAGGAACATTCCAAAAAGCCTCAAGTTGACTCAATTCTGAGGAGAAAGTCAGACGAAGTACATCTGCGGAGGAAAAGGAAATTTGAGAAACCCCAGGAACCCTCTATGAGAAAACGGGTATGACAAAGCCTTATGTACGTACGCAGATGCGCGTGGGCTGGTTGGGGCTGATGTCTCTTGCCTTCTGGCTTGTACCTCGTCTTGAAATCCCAGATTGCTACAAAAGAAACTGCGATGTTTTACCTCCCTTCCTGAAAACTGCTTGTCTAACAGGACAGTAGTTTGAACGGTGAAGCTCGGGTTGACATTCAGAGGCTGACAACACTGGGCTGTGGCTGTTGGTTTGTTCAAAATGCTGGAAAACCCACTTTAACTAAAAAGTCACTGCAAGATGCTTGGAGTAGGAACAAAGTGAAAATCACTTTTTTATGGAAACCTTTTCATCTGTTGCCACTTGGTGGCGCGTGGCTGCTTGTTTTGTGGCTGATTCACAGATGTACAATGTGTAGAACTGATCAGAGGACTTTTAGGAATGACACCTCCTGTAGCCTGCAGAGAGGAGGAGCTGCTCACAGCAGCACTGTAGCAGCTTTTCCCTGAATTTAAAAGTCAGAGCTCTTGGACCAGGCAGAGACACTCTGAATTGCCGTGTGGATTACAGAATGTTCTACTTGAGATGTAGAGAAATGCTGGCTTCCAGAGGTAGAATTGAGGACTTAGATCCAACTTCTCTTACAAGTAGACGTCGGATGGTTTGTAACTGGGATCGCTGGCAGTTCTTGTACTGCGTGCACTGCAGTTCTCTAGGACTTGGTAGTTGCTCTGCCTGTTGAGTCTTGGCAGAGAGAACACCACAGTGTGGGAATGTAGGGATTGTCGTTGCTTTGGTGGAGAGCAAAATTCATGACAGCAGGTTATGCATATCTGCTTCTTGGCCATGATCTCCTTTTCCCATCCCTGCGGACTCACTGGAGTGTTTATGGATGGCTTGAATTGCTCCGTGAAAGCCCCCAGCGCGTCAGGAAGGCACTGTGAGTCACCAGACCTTCAACAGACAGCAGAACAAATGTCATCTTCTGGGGCTTTTACTTTTTCTTTCTTCCAACAGCTAAAACTTGGAAAAGAAGAAACTCTTCAGGAAGAAGGTGCTTTGCCTTTATAATAGATATGTTCTGCATCCCTTTTACTCCTTCTCATGTGGGCTGAATGGTGAGCCAGTGTATCATTCATATCTTTGTGTCAGAGTGGGCATTTTTATTATGCCCTTTACACCTCAAAAACTGCTCTCTCGTGCAAGCCTTTATGCTTCAGAAGAGTTAGCTGCAGTGGCTGGCTCTGTTTTTTCTCATGTCCCATGTTAAAATACAAACAAAAGTGTGTTTTGATGACCCCAAGGAATAAAATTCAGTTTCTGTGCTGATGCTTTGCTCTCTTGCTGAATCTTGCTCCTGCCACGCACACCCTCAGCAGTCTGCATCACAGCGTGGAGCCCCCCCTGCACAAGCATTGATTTCTCTCTCACAATCTGCCGCAATAACAGAACTCTGATACCTTTAAATTACGCACTCATCAGTGCCCTGTGTGGAGGATGCTGCAAGCTGACAGTAATCTGATGTTCTAATTTTCCTGTCTGTTTTCTAACCTGTCATTAACGTACTGTGACCTCTTCCTTTATTACATGTTTAAGGACGGGTTGATCAGCTTTCTCTGCTCGGCGCTGAGTCCGAGGTGTAGCAGCACATCCACAGATGTGATCCAATTAGTTTATTGCAGAACACGGGCGTTCTGATAGAACAGGTGTGTTCACAGCAGCTCACCTTTCCTTGCCAGGCCTGATCTCTTCTTATTAAGGCTGTTTCGTTCTAACAGATGCTAGCTTCTTTCTTGCGTATAGCGATCAAATCAGACTTGAAGTCTTCCTTGGTTTTGGTCTGTACATCTCTTCCGTATCCCTCTGGCGTGCATCAGAAGTTTAGATTAACGTGAATGAAGCTCAGTTCTCTTTGACGAGCAGCAACCAGGGCAGGGAAGAAGCTGCCAGCCCCGTGAGCCCACCTTGCATCAGAGATGGTGGCAGCATGCGGGCTGATCCGCGTGGCAGTGTGTCACACCTGGCGTTCCCCGTCCGCACGCACTGGAGGTGGGGAAGCCTGAGAAGATGAACCGAGTTCAGTAGGATGTAAAGGGGCAGCCAGAGTGTGCTTAACCCGAGGCTCTGAGCATCCAGCAGGAATGGTGTCATCACAGCAGAAGCGCAGCCATAGTGCGAGTAGTGGTTGCAGCTCAGGAGCTTTCAGAAATTGACCTTTTGGCCATTTGGCATGCATGTGTGTCAGCCAGTGTTGAAAGTTTGCCCAGTGAATGCATCCTAAGCCTGGTTTCTTCTGGCCCGTTGGGGGAGAACTGTCTATAGCATGCTGTTTGCCTTCTATTTGGAAGCTGTCTGCTGTGTAATGAGTAAGGCAACTAAGTCTGTAAGGTGATGCATGGTGAATAAATGCATTTGTCACTCTTGGAGTCCGGAGGGCCGATCCTGGGCTCCCTGCCTTTGTGATGGCGCTCCAGCTCGATGCCTTGGGCTGGTGGCTGCAGCCCGGCGCTGGGGCGGGTGGGCCCAGAGCAGGCAGCTGTTTCCCAGGCACCGCTGCCCCACAGAGCAGCAGCGTTCCGGGTGACGCCACGTGCTGGGTGCTCCTGTAGTCAGCCCTTGTCTCTTCCTTTTCAGCGGCGATCGTGGAAGGCTTCGGATGAGCGGAGCGCCCTGCTCAAACCCCTGCGGCGCCTCAAGCAGGAGCCAGAGGACGAGCTGCCGGAAGCGCCTCCCCGCTCCAAGGACAGCGACCAGTCGCGATCCAGCTCGCCCACCGCGGGTCCCAGCACAGAGGGGGCCGAGCCCAGGGACAAGAAGAAGTTCAAGATGAGGCGGAAAAGGCGGCTTCCCAATAAAGAACTGAGCAAGGAGCTCAGCAAGGAGCTCAACCAAGAGATCCAAAAAACCGAGAACAGCCTTGCCAATGAGAATCACCAACCCATCAAATCTGAACCCGAGAGCGAAAACGAGGAACCCAAGCGCGCCTTGAACAACAGTGAGAGACTCCATAGGTTCAGCAAAGGGTTGAACGGGACTCCCCGGGAGCTGAGGCACCCGCTCATCCCCAGCCTGCGGAGCACACCGCGCGGCATCGCCCGGCCCCCGCCCTCGCTCTCTCCTCCCAAATGCATTCAGATGGAGCGGCACGTCATCCGGCCGCCCCCCATCAGCCCCCCTCCGGACTCGCTCCCCCTGGATGATGGGGCAGCCCACGTGATGCAGAGGGAAGTCTGGATGGCTGTCTTTAGCTACCTCAGTCATAGAGACTTGTGCATCTGTATGAGAGTTTGCAAGACCTGGAACAGATGGTAAGGAGGGTGGGAAACCGAGCTGGGTCTTGTGTGCGGTGGGGATGGGCTCGGAAGGGAGGTGGGTGACTGAGCACTAAAAGAGGTGTGCAGGTTGTCCCTGGAGTTCTACTGAGCCCAAGGAGAGAGGGTGCCCAGCAGTGTCTGAAGAAGCAGCTTGTCTTTAGTGCTTTCTCACAAGCAGCAGTTGCCAGCGCTTCTGATGAGAGCTCTGTGTCTGAGCATCAGCCTGCAGCAGCTGTGCTGCCCAGAGCAGCCTGTTCTGTCCTCAGGCACTGCAGTGTTCCCACACATGAGAACATGCTGTCTGGGTCAGGCTGAGCCTGGGTCGCTGTGCCCCCAGGAGCTCTTGCTGCTGATGCAGTTGTTTTTTTAGTTCAGCTCTTAAATCTCTATTGAGATACGGTGCAGATCTTCTGGTGTCCTCAGTGTTCTCCTCAGAAGGTCCATCCTGGTTGTTGCCCTGCAGAGGGCACACAGAGCAATCCCATCTGCTGATTCCACATCAGCAGAACTTGTGGAAGAGTCCTTCATTGTTCTGTGCTCAGAGTGTCAGAGCGTAAAAATTGACACAGACAGTGACTGCACCACCACAGAAAGCGTTAGTGGACAGATTGCTGAGTTTCAGTGCACTCGCAGCAAAGTGTCTTGTTGGCTGTCATCTCATATTCAGCCATAATGTGCACATGGATGGGCGAGTCGTGGCAGAGGCCCCTCGCAGTCTAGCAAAACCTGGATAAATGACAGGAAGGTTGGTAGTGTGGCGCAAGGCGATGCCCATGGAGCCCTTCCTCCACGGGTTGGATGATTTTTCAGTTTAAGTATGACGTTTTCTAATGCAAAATGCAGGAAAATGCAGAATACTGCAAACCATTCGGATTTGTTGCTTGTGGCCCTTAGGGAGCCATAAAGAGAGCACAGAAACGCACATGGGAATAACAGGAACAGAATTTGTTTTGCATAGGGAAAGTGTGGGGGAAATCAGGACAAGAAACACATGAAACCATTCTTTTTATTCAGAAGATAAGAAGGAAGGTGCTTGTTTTCAGGCTACAAGACGGATTTTAATAAATGCTGTGGTGACTTAAAATGGGATCCTCTGATGTTGGCAGTGATAATTCAGTAGAAATAATTCTGAACTTTGCTGTGAGACAGACTTGACAGGAAACTTCAAACCTACGTGACGCTGTTTGTTGGTGCACTTACCTCAGCATCACTTCGCTTTATTTTTGCTAGTTTTAGTTAAATGCTGTCGTTCTCCCATAGTTCTGTGATGCTTTTTAAAAGTCTTGCAGAAATTGAAACAAGTGCCAAATTCAAGTGCTGTTGACTTTTTTTCTTTTTGGGTAGGTGCTGTGACAAAAGATTATGGACCAAAATAGATTTAAACCATTGTAAATCCATCACTCCACTTATGCTTAGTGGCATTATTAGGAGACAGCCTGTAACCCTTGATCTTAGCTGGACAAATATATCTAAAAAGCAGCTGAGCTGGCTTATCAACAGACTGCCAGGTAAGCGATGGTTTTTTGACTGTTTCACCAGACCTTAGCAAACCAGTTTAGATGTAAACTGTTATCTGTGAGGAGGGTGTGAAGGGGTCCAGCTATCTGAAAGGAGGAGTACATACAGAGGAGCAGAACGTCAGCATGTTAAAAGGAGTTTTGTTGTGACTGCTTGGCATTCTAGCAAACTGATTTGTGGCAGGTGTTGGCCAGTAAGTGCTGTGCCTGTGCTGACCGGTTCAGCTGGGGGATGCTGGGGGACTGTTCCCCCCCACTGTAATGGAGGTTCTGGGTGCAGGGCAGAGGGACGGCTGGGTAGGGGGCTCCTGGGGTCCCTGCGTGCCCCGGAACATTGGGGTGTGTTGGAGCAGCGCTGGGCTCAGCTCAGCCTGTGTGTGGGAGCAGATCGCTGGGTGCCTCTCCGCGTGGGCCGTGTGCTCCAATCTCTTCTGTATCTGCAGGTCTCCGAGACCTGCTGTTATCAGGGTGCTCATGGATAGCAGTGTCAGCACTTTGTAGTTCCAGCTGCCCTTTACTCCGAACTCTGGACGTGCAGTGGGCAGAAGGACTGAAGGACGCTCAGATGAGAGACCTCCTGTCACCGCCCACAGACAACCGGCCAGGTAACCGGCGGGAGAGCGCGGGCTGTCCCATCTGCACTCAGCATGCTCTGCTGCTGGTCCCCCGTGGAGGAAATGGGCAGCAAACCCTGCAGCCAGCACCGGTGGGGTTCTGGGCTTTGCTGGCGCGTGAGGCGGTTAAGTAGTGACGTGCAGCACCTCGCTGGAAGCCTCTGGGTGATGAGTGATGTTCTCTGGCTGCTGAACAGTCATCTGAGCCACTGTGCTGGTTTTCTGTCTGACTTTCTTCTCTTCAGGCTGCAACGGGTGTACTTTAGAGAGTATGGAAACACTTTCTTCCAGTTCAGGGAAGGAGCAGTTCTGTGGGTCATGCCACATTCGCCCGGATATCAGCTCAGGTGAAATTTTGAGCAAATCAGATCTGCTTTCTGGCATGCACTGCACAGCCTACTGCTTATTCCCGACCTGTAATTCCGCTGGGCCCCTGCAGTTACTTTCGTCCCTTTTGTTTTTAAATCAGGAGGTGGTTATTGTCCACGTGCCTGTATCCAAAATAGGCAAGCGTTCCTGCTGATGTCCCCTCCAAAGCAACAGACAGGCAAAAACATCTGAAGTTAACTCAGGGCAGCGGTGTTGTGTGTCACAGTGCATTTCATATAGATTTGCAGATGTTTGCAGCACAGCACGAGGCTCAGCTGCTGCTTCTGCTTTCCATCCAGGTCAGATCGACAACCGGAGTAAACTGCGGAACATCGTGGAGCTGCGCTTGGCCGGCCTGGACATCACCGACGCGTCTTTGCGGCTGATCATCAGGCACATGCCTCTGCTCTCCAAACTCAATCTTAGTTACTGTAACCACGTGACAGATCAGTCTATTAACCTGCTGACCGCGGTTGGAACTACCACGCGGGATTCATTAACGGAAATTAATTTATCAGGTATGCAGCACGAATGGGGCAGGGGAGGAAGGTGGGGGCGTCCCTCCCCATCGGCACCGTTTGCTGCTGGAGTCGGTGATCCTGCAGCTGCTGCTCTCCCAGGCCCTGCCCTGTCTGAGCTGCTGGGAGCTGCAAATTGTCGCTTTGTTCATCCTCCTCATCCCATCTCCTCCTCCTCATCCCTTCGGTTACACAGCCGCCATGGGGAGCCGGGAGCTGCATGCAGGCTGGTGGGGGCAGCTGGTGGCGGCGTGGCACAGGAGGAGCGGAAAGGGCTGAGGAGGTCAAATCAGAGATCAAAATGGGGTTTCACTTTTGTCCCCTTCTCTCTTTTTGCAGACTGCAATAAGGTGACTGACCAGTGCCTGTCCTACTTCAAACGTTGTGGAAACATCTGCCAGATCGACTTGAGGTACTGCAAGCAAGTGACAAAAGAAGGCTGTGAGCAGTTCATAGCAGAGATGTCAGTAAGTGTTCAGTTTGGGCAAGTGGAAGAAAAACTTCTGCAAAAACTGAGTTAGTTAAAGGACACGTGTAAATACTGGGGCGAGGCGGGGAAGGGACTAAGAACATGTAGGGATTTTATTTTCAATTGGGAACTTGGAATATTGGAAAATACCGTGATGGGATTTTACAACTCTTGTCGAGAACAACATGAAACTACCCACGTTAAGAATCTCAACTTGTGCCACTAATTCAGTCTACCTGGGATGTCCTGCACTGGCTCTTATGCAAATTCATAAGGCGACTGTTACTGATGATAATTGTTCACACCCGGAAGAAGACTGATCTCCAAGGAATACTGTTATTTAAAGTACCACAGCATGTGCTTGGTAGTGTAAATTTGATTTCTGCTTTTCATTTCTTAAAACAAACAAACAAACAAAAAAAAAAAGTTGGTGTCATTAAAGTGGACCACGCACTGCATTTCTGCCTTCTTAACACATTTTGTTTTGTTACATCTTACATTATGCAGAACTATTTTTGTACAAAAATTGTTTAAAAATTATTTATGCAATGTTTGAATGCATTACCAGTGTTTCGGTTTTGATTGCCAATTTTTATCTTTACTTATGGTAGGAGAGAACTTAACCTATACTTCGTAGACAGTATCTATCTACAAACGTGCCCAGGTCAGGAAAAGTAGGTTAATACTTTCAACTTAAAGCATGTTTTAATGGAAGTTTATATCCTGCTTTGTATACTTGAGAAGTGACATAAGCATGTTGTGGAAATAAGGTGTAAATTATAGTTGAAGTAAAACACTTTGCCAAGTTTTATCTGTATAGAAATCACCTTTTTTCTCAAAATTTTAAAAATTCCAATTTCAGCTTTTGCACATAGGAGGGTTTCACTCTGTAGCATGAGCTCTTGTACTCAATATAAAATTAATTTATACAGTGAGTCCAGCAGTAGAATAAATGGTCAAACGTAGTCTCTCTTTCTTTGAAGTGTGAGTTGAGTTCTCATTTAAGGTTTATAACATGGTTATTTCCTGATTGTAAAATTCTGCATTCATAAGTGCCATTGTTGTAAGGTGTTGTTTTCGTAGACCTTCCTGATGCAGTTTTACCTTTGTTGAATTTGTATAAACAATTGTACAAAAACAGATTCTGGCTACGAGGGCTTCTGTTCCAGCTGGGGGCTGTGCTTGGACTTCAGGAGTGGGGAGTGACTGCAGTGTGGAGCTGCACAAGCCCTGCCAGCAGCGGCGCTTCCTCCTGCAGCCCGGCTCTGCTGCGCGCCGTCCTGTGCAGCGAGGGCAGCGGCCTGCTCCTGTCCCAGCAGGACTCTGAGCCCAGGCCTGCTTGCAGGAATCCCCCTGGCAGAAGGGTGGTGGTGTCAGCAAGCTGCGCCTCGATTCTGTGCTTTGTGGAACTGTTCCCAACCTTGATGGAAGCAGCAGTCATGCAGCAGCCCCCATTGCTGCCACGCTCCAGGCAGCAGCTCGCAGTGCTCAGTGCAGGCTTTCTCCTCTGCCTCCCAGCACGTTGTTACTGAGGGGAAATGAAATGCACGTGCCTTCCTGCGGCTGCTCTCTGCCTGGGCACACGCTTGTAAGAGACAGGTAAAGCTTGGGCTGCCTGCCCACCACCTTCCCCACTGGTTAAGGAAAGAGACAGAGGCTGTGAAAGCCCATCACAAATCTTTATTAAGCTTGTGTGGCTAACGATCAGCATGGAAGTAATATACGGTTCTTTTTTCATCAGCTTACCCACTCAACGGAGACTCCGGGAATCAAGTAGCATTAAAAAGTTACTCTAAAAAATAAAGCCATTGAGAGGTTTGCTCCCTTCTGAAAAATAGTCAGCAGTGTCTTAAAGCTGCATATTTTGTTTTGAGGAGGAGCTGCTTTCTCATTTTCAAGCCAGCCGCATAAAGACAAGAGAGCCGGAATGACAGGCAGTGTAGCAGAGGTAAGAATTACCTGACATTGAAGCCCTGGCAAATCATTTTCTTACCTCCATTACTTTGTTAGCATGGGGGAAATTCAAAGGAGAAACTGTAGCTTTAGCTGAACTTTCTTTCATCTTTTTTTTTTCTTTTAACTTACTCTTGGACTGCTTGAACACAGGGATCCTGTCCCCACATCTGAAGTGATTTTGCAGCTTCCCTCAGAAGGCTGCATGGGCAGCCCCAGGCACTGAGGTCTTTGCTCCAACACAACACCCTGCTGGAAGCTGAGCCGCCAGCAGCGAGGTATGCAGCAGCTGATGGGAAGCAGGGGTAATAGTGACTCAGCCTTGGTTAATGTTGGTGAATGTGAGGTTTTAAAGATGAGGTTTCCTTTCCCCTGTCCTTAATAAAACCATCCCTCCTTAAGGTTAGCAGTGCTATACATTCCACGTGTTAGCAGCAAGTAGTTTCATGACCCTGATTAGTATTCACAGTAAGATCAGGTTGTCGGCACATGAAGTACAATCATCACATTAGATTAATAGTTACAATAGGCAGGAGTGGATTCAGAACCACAAGAACGTGGTTTCCTGTACCTCCTTTCTTAAAAAATCATTCCTAAACTAAAGTACTTAGTAAGCAGTACTTGGATACCACATGAGAGAGCCCTACAGAGTGACAGAGAACGGCCAAGAGAACACAGGGGTAATGTCTGACATTCAGAGCGCAGCAATCCCTGTCAAACAGATTGCTTAATGTCTTCTGTGCAGGTACAGTTAATGGCAGTGCTTTCTTGAGTCTTTATACTGTTAACACTGTTACAGGAACAGTGTCAGTTACATTCTATATTTGTTTAATTGCATAAGAACAGAATGTTCAACCAATAAGTTCTAGAGGACTGGACAGCGTAACGCAAGGATGGTTGAGCAAAGGTGGTTTCTGTGACCTCTTGCTGAGTACTGAATGCAATAACTAGGGCTGATATTCTTCAGAAGAGAGCAATAACTGCTGTAAACAGTTTGACTCAGTTTGTGGGTTTAAGGAAAGTCAGGCAGCTCTGTCACTGTGCGCACAGGCATCACATCATCCTGCCCAACCGTCAGATTAAGTATGCTGTAAAAAAGTCTTCATAAATTCTACGTCCTGATGTTCAAAATGTTGCGTTTGAGAATTAAAAATCTGATCTACGCCCCAGGGTTCAGCACTCCTGCCCACAGAAATCCTGGTAGTCAGAGGTGACTAAAATTGGCTTTTGGTCTTCGTTTAAGACTTAAAGACATGCACAGCCCGCACAACGTACTGCCGGCAGATGGGGCACTCGCTCATCCTCTTGCCGCACTTGGTGCAGGTCACCATGTGGCCGCACTCCAGCAGCACGCAGTCGATCACTGCATCCATGCAGATCCGGCACAAGTTGTCATCGTTGTCGTTCAGCTGTACCTTCTCACCCTCTGAAAAGCAATGGAGAGGGAGGACACACGTTCAGGCCCTGAAAACACTTCAGCCCTGACGCTGGCACCAGCTAAAAGATATGAACAGGTACTTCAGCATAAAGCTGTGTTGCTCCGTGCTTACAACCGTTTTCTAACCAGCTAAGAACCTCTAAGAGGTTAAGGAGCCTCATCCAGTCTCAATTAAGTGCTTGATGACAGTAATTAAAATGCAGAGCTTGTTGTTCTCTATCTCTGAACTTACTTTGTGTAGCAGAACACTTTCCTCACAGTGATGCAGAATGAAGCAGACCAAGTTGTCGAAGCGTAAGCAAGGCCTGAGGATGGTGGAACTGAACAAAGCCTGCCAGGTTTCAGTGCAGCTTTCCTCTCTCAATAACTGTACATTTTGTCAGATCGTACTGAGAAAATCCTAACTCTAATGCTTCATTTCAGACAGGTTTTCAGCTCTACTTTAATCACCAACTGAGGGTCTCCCTTGAGCCATGCTTTGACACTCGCCAGCAGTACCAGAGAGCGGGCAGCACCTGCAGAATGCTTCACCCCTCTGAGCCAGTTATTTCAGTCTTATGTGCTGGCAACACCTGGCTGTGAAGCAGCCCTGAGCTAAGGCAGCTTTCCAGTCACTGCAGTTGCCTGTTGCTCACATCCTGCCTGGTGGGTGCAAGAATAAAGAGCCAAGCAGGGATTTTTCAGGCCGGCAGCATCATCAAGAAGCTGTTTCTCCCACAATATTTTGTTAACAGAAATCAGGCTGTGCATATACTACAATCAGGCAAGTGAAAGACAGCAACTGTTGAGCACAGAGGTTGGATGAATACAAGTCATTGAGCTGCAGCCACAGAAACACCTTATCGTGGAAGCATGGAGAGAGACCAAACCACTTGAACTTGGACTTTTGCCACTGTAGCTTTTAATTCTGTCTCACAGTGAAAGACCTGAATTACTTTGGTCTGTTGACAGCTACAAGAGAAGCTATCTTGCTAATACCTTGTGAAATCTAATACAGGATACAGAGGTGCCAAGTTTCACATTCTCCAAAGCAGCAGATCTCAGCCATGCCATTTTACCTTGCATGTGAAAGCTGAGCTCTCCAAGCTTTGGAAAGTAAATCTTTGAAAAAACAGCACAATTCCTGGAAAGCTTCATTTACACACTGGTTCCACATTCAGCTATTCTAGCTCCAACTGGGAAACCACACTTGTGAGTTGTTCCACAAAAGCAGAACAAGTCAGACACCAAGTTGTCCTGCTGGCAGAACCGGCTACTGGAAACCAGAAAAGAAAGGTAAGAATCGAATACAAACTTACGTGTTTTGTGGTTTTCCTCACTCTCTCTGTACAGCCTGCTCACTTTCTCCACAAGTTCCCATTTCTCACAGCATCCTGAATAGTTGACAAAATTACACGCAAGGATCTCCTTCAGCTGCCGAACACTCAAGCCTTCGATGTCCTCCAGACTTGAAATATCAGACAGAGAGGCTCTCGCTCGTTTTCTGGACAATCCGGGAGTCTGAAACACAGAGCTGTATGTTTTTATCTGTCCTGGTAAGTCCAAAGCACCAGATTTTTCCATGCATCACAGACTACATTAAGCTGCAGCAGTTGGGCTAAAGCTTTATTCTTTTCAGGGCAAGTATTTACAGATTAATGGCTGGTTCTGAAAGAACAGAGCGCGATTCTAAATGCTGACAGATCTAAAGACTTTGTGGTGTCACGTGCAAAGGTTTCTCTGCATGGTTCCTAACTCACCTGTTCCTCGGCACTTTCTTCTTCATCATTATTTATAGAAGATGTTTCAGTTTGGCCCTGTGTACAAAATGAAACTAATCAAAACAAATAAGAAAAAAAACTAAAACAACCCCAACCTCTTCTAAAATACTTTGCTTCCTCCCAAACGTTTTGAAGTTTCAGCTGCTGCTAATTATTATCAACTCAAGTCATCCCTATCACCTAAGCTACCAGTCTTATCATCTTCTGTTTCCAATCAGAAATGGAAAAGGCATTTTCCAGCCCCTCCATCTGCACCAGCTGGTCCTTGTTTTAGTTTAGCATGATGCATTATCTAGTTGAAAAAAAAAAAAAAGCCACTCTACCATAAGACACATGTTAATTATTGTACCCGTAAAGGTGTCCCATTTCCTGTGCTTCCCCCTCTGTTTGCAAGTTCTCCTTGGGACGACACCGACACAGACATAGAAAATGGATGAGTAAAAAACCCAGAAGTCTGTGAGCGCGACGAGCGCAAGCTGCCAGCGTCCATGTCCTCCTCTGAGCCTAAGTGGTGGCACAGCACGAGATCCACCAGGTCTTCCTTCTCCCTGCAGGTATCTGTCGGGATGTTTCTGAGAACAAGGTACTGGCGCAGATCCTTGACTTTCAGTCTCATCAGCTGTGGCCGCTGAAATGCTGTTTCTTGCAGCAAGTGACAAGTCGAACATCTTCGGAGATTCTCTTGTAAGACGGAACAAACGGAGCAGAAATCCTTCTTGCAGTCACAACACACGTGCTAAGGATGAGCAAATAACCAGCAGTTGAGTCAGAACGTGAGCCCACGACCCTGCGCCAAACCTCATAATTTTCTGCTGCCCTTTCATCGCTGATTGTGACAAACATCAGCTTTAGGATTTAAGTCTAGAAAATCGCCCCATCAAATAGCTCTGCGCTGTGCCAGGGTGGAGCAAGACAACAAGGAAAGGGGAAACTGAACAAAACTGAGCAAAGAGGCTTCAGAGAATTAGGTCAGTAAGCGGGCCTAAATGGACAAGGTAATAATGATGGATGGTCATATGCAGTAGTGACACCAACAATCTCAATTTTATTTACCTGGAAACTTAATTAAGCCACCAGCTTGGCCCCAAATGATATGAGGTCACTGGAGCACAACAGCACTTAACAGAACTAAACCCGTTTAACAAACAAGCAGCACTTCACAGAAAGAAGCTGTGATACTAAATTGGTAGCGGTTAAACTTGTCTGTAATGTAGTTTGTTCATTTCAGTACCCCACCACTATGGCTGATATCCTCTGCAAACACAGATCTGTTTTAAGAGCCAAGATTCTGCACCTAAAACATGCACCTTACAAATAGGATCAGCACATTCCCAGCTCAGCTCAGATCCAACGTCAGATCCCTTAACTTCTAATCCTGTCTGACGTTCATTTCCTGTGACCTTGGGATGAGGCACTTTCTCCCTCCCTGACCATCTGACTCAGTTGTCCTTACTGGAGGAAAAAAATATGTATATATTTGCATCCCCATATGCCTACAGATTAGTTCATATTAGTAAAAATATGATTTAAAAGGAAACGACTCACTTTTTTCCTAAAAACTGAGAAGGGCAGTCCACAGGCTTTGCAAACCACGTTAGCAGCTGCTGCAGCTGGAGATGGACACGACGAGAAAGCCGCGTTCGGGGCGAAGCGGAACGGGCCGGCGCCTCCCGCAAAGCCGGCCTGCTGGCCACGGACAGCCCCAGTCCCCATGACTTCATTCAGCAACCCGCAGCAGGAAGCCCACATGGAAGTAGCTCCTGCCTGGAAGCACGCAGAAAAAAGAAAAAGGGACAAAACTGAGTATCCTAAGACCCACGTAACACGTGTCCTGCTGCCACAGGGCCTCGCCATCCCATCTCTCATCATCCCAAAGCGCGCTGTGTGCAATCCCAGAGCACGAGGAATGCAGCACACAAACATCGGCGCAGCCCAGCCAGCCCCCCTTCCCAGCTACAACCCAAAGTAGGTAAGATTTGCTTCCGAGAGGCTGAAGCAGGCACAAGGAGCTCCTTCTCTCCTGCACTGAAGCAGAGTTCTTCACAGAAAAAGTAAGGAATTTGAAGAGGTGATGCAAAGTGAAGGAGGAGAGACTGACAGTCAATTGTAGGCGAAGAACAAGAGCTGAAGGGACGAGAGCGAGAGGTACAACAGCTTTGTAAGGCTGCCTCCCTGTAGGACTTTCTCCAGAAGTAACTCAGTTCTTTTAGGACTCACGGTGAAACTCTAAAAAACATTTCTGGATCTTCAAACAAACGAACCAAACTGAATTCCAAACTCATGCTCTGCTTCTTTGAGAGGGAAACATCTTTCAGGCCCTCCCTGGAGCTGCTCTGCTGTTCTCTTACGCAGGGGCTAACAAAACTAAAGTACCTCCAAATAACTTTATTCCATATTGACTGTATTTCTGGTTTGAGCCCTACTGTTTTATCTCAAACACTATAAAGATAAATGCACGCATTTCACTGCTACTTTTTTATCCTTGAAAGCCTTCAGCACCAGATTCTCTATCAGATTTATACTTCAAGTTGGAATTTGGAACCTACACTGTTTGGGTCATACACGTAATTGCAGTCAAGTGGCTCATGGAAACCTATTAAACAACAACAAGAACCAATAGAAGTACACTGGTTTTTTTGCAGAAGGAAGCTGAGTGGTACAACTATCTTTTAAACATATTTTTGTTCACCTTTTTTTTTCTTACCTATTCTAAGTTCTTCTGTTTTGTTTTCTTTATTCCAGGACAGCAGCCTGGACAGCAGCCTCTACCCCTTCAAGTGTAAAGACACAGAACATTGGGTTTGAGCCTGCAAACCTCGACCAACCAGAGCACACGTCAGCCCAGTGATGGCACTGCAGTCCCTGCAGTGACTGCTTTCCATCTTAACACACACGAAGCAGAAAAGCTCAGAAAGGAGTCCTTACTGTGGTGCAGAGAGAAGCTGAGGCACAGAGCCATAGGACTAAACATGCCCCACAAGGCACTTGCATGAACACGTTGTTAAGAGTGGAACATCAAAAGCACCTCTCTGACCTACACAAACCTGGTGCTCCACTCTTACTGCTGTATGCTGACACTACAAGTGTTGCAAGGCCAGCAGTGCGGTCGGTCCTTCTGCTTCTAAGCTGTGGGCAGTAATAACATCAAACAGGTATGCAACAAACAAAACTCACTAGCCCAACTGTTTTGAGAGCCACGTTCACCTCAGCTGTAACCAGGAACCTTCACACAGCACAGAGAAAAGCCTGCAGAGCTCAGGGCACGACTGACCCTGGTTGGTACCTGCAGCTCACTGCCCTCCACACTGAGCCATCCAGCCAAGACTTGCTTTCTGCTTTCCAGCAGCAGAGAGTGGAAACGTCAATATTCCTTTCTCCTGCACAAAACAAATGATGCGTAGTTCTCCCTCCTTCTTAAGTAACAGTTAAATAACTTTTCAGAAAAGCATTCTTAAAACTGGTGACTTAAAACTAGGAGCTCTCTTGCATGCAAGGCTGGTCTTTTGAAAAGTATTTTTTTTTTTCCACCTTAATGGAAAGTTGTCAGTTGCAAAAAAAAATAATGACTAATTCTTCACATGGTCTTACAGAATTGTCACACCAGCTTTATAGTGAACAACAAAAAACTGCTACAGGCAAATAAGCGCAGAAAGATAAAACACTGAGCCAGAAGTGTGTGGGAATCCAACCAGCACCACTGCAGGGCACCCAGCAGCAGGACAACAGAACCAGGAGAGAATGCAGCTGCTACCCGTGTCCTTACCAGGCAGTTTAACACTTGGAGGAGTGATTTTATTGAATGGCCTGTAACAACTCAGACAAAGCTATAAGCTCAGGGTAAATATGCACCTAGGAAGTTTGTTATCCACTTTTGATGCCTGAATTTTCTAAGTATTGGACAGAAGACGTGTGTTACAGTTGCTCTAAGAGCGGATCTATGCAGATGAAAGGCAGTGCAACAGTGTCCTTAATTCGCTCCTTAACCTCAGTCAGCTCTGCAGCTTCCCTGTGACACCGAGCCAGAAAGCACCGACACAACTCATAGATGAGACACTAAAACAAGCAGCTTCCTCCGTGCAGAGCTCAGCACAGCCCGGCCGAGCAGCCAAAGCCTTTCCAGCCATCCTTCCCCACGATCCTCCGGCTGCTCCCTTCACCTCCACGCTCCGCGCGCCCTGCAGCGCCGTGAAATCGCATTTCGGCCCTCCAGCCTCAGAGCCCAGCCGTGCCCGCAGGGCTGCTCGCGGCCGCGCACAGTGGCAGGAGGATCCTCCCGCAGCAGCCCAGCTTTAACGCCCCGGGGCCGCGCAGAGCTTTCCCAAAAACGGAGCTCGGCGACGACCCGAAGGCACGGCGCCCAGACGGGGGTCAGACGAGAGAGCCGTGAGGGATCGGGCCTCGCCTCGGGCCCCACCCGCCCGCTGACTCAGCGAAGGCCCCTCGGCAAGGCGGTCGCGGCCTCGGGAGCCCCTCTGTGGCGGGCGCGGCCCAAAGGGAGCGGAGGGCCACGGCGCAGCTCGGCCCGCCCCACCCCCAGCGGGGTCCCTGCCGCACCGCGCTCCGTTTCGGCCGCCCTCGTCCCTCCCACAGCCGGCCCAGCCGAGGAAGCCCATCACCTTCATGGCCGCTCCGCCGCCTCAGCACGGCGCCCTGCCCGGCGCCGACCCCCGCCCGCGGGCCGCCTCACGGAGGGCGGGCCTTCCCGCGGAGCCGCGTCCTATTGGCTGTTCTCCTCGCGACGGCGGCGGGAGGAGCCAATGGGAGGAAAGGAAGAATCGCCGAGGGCGGGCGCGGAGGTGGCCTTGTGGCGAGGTGAGGCCGGGGCCCCCGGGGTGGGCGCTGAGTGACTGAAGGGGTTTATTATTTGAAAATCCAGCTCCAAAAAGCTTCCGGATCCCGTTATTACTTTATTTACCTTATAAATATATTAATTAAAAAAAAAGGTTTTAAGAGTAAATTTTTTTAAAAAATTGTAACCTGTATTGTAACAATATTGCAATAAAAAGCAAATCCTGAGGCAAGCTTTACGTGAGGGCACAGAGCCAACAAACAGGGCCCAGCAAAAGTGTTTGAGAACGCATTTTGAGCCCAGGCTCTATTACTCAGGGAGAAGGTTGCAAAGCCCTGCATAACTTGGGGTGGGGAGGCTGTGTTTGCAGCAGGGCTCAGAGATGGGCGACAGAGGGGAGAAAAATGAGTTTTCCCGTGAGCTGTGCTGAGAGAAAACCTCCCAGACACCTCCCAGAGCCCATGGCCGTGCTGACAGCCCGCAGCACTCTGCCTTCATTGGGGCAGATGTCAGTGAGTCACGCTGTGACACTGATTTGAGATCTCTTTATCACTACGTCTGAGTTTTAACCGTGACTGTTGTTCTTTAACAGGGAACTTGAACCTCAGTGGCTGTGAAGTGGCATTGCTGAGCTCGGTTAATAAGCCTTGCCCTCGCTGAGCTCTCGGGGTTGTGCCAAAGAAGCATTAAAAGATTTGAATCTATTAATACAAGATGTCCCATTTACTTCTGCTGTGGAATGACAAGGAATGATGACTCACTAGAGCTCCGTGATCCCCCATGGTTTTACATGGTGAATAGAGAAATCATTCTTAGCAGGAATCACTGTTTGCTTTCAGTGTTTTCAGTTGTGAAATCACAGAATCACAAAGATTGGAAAAGACCTCTAAGCTCCTCACCCATCCCCACCACACCCAAAATTGTACATTACTTTTGAAGTAAATGTTAATCTCCAGGCTTTATTTGGGAATTTCAGAGTGGGTATTACTATGGATACAAAAAGTCCTTACAGCATTCACTCCCAGAGGCACACGGTAATTTGGGTTTACTATTTGAGCAGGTTCAAAGCAGGACTGTCAGCATGACTTGCATGTTGAGTTTGGAGAGTTACACGGAGCGTCAGGATTTGGGCCAGATGTGTCATTTCCTTGTCTCTCCAACTTCTGCAAATGCCGACTGCAGCTCTCTTCTCTGCCCCTCCCTGCAGCTCACTTTGCCATTTCAGTGCTTCCGCCCAAGCTGTCTTACTTTGTTTTCAGGAAATACCACGAAATTAACCTTTGTAACATAACAGCTGCAGCTGTTTCCTGCTTTTTATGTTCAGATACAGCTGAACAAGTATTAGCTCAATGAGATCTGGGAAGTTATCACTACTTATGCTCACAACAACTAATTACAGCATTAAGCTTCTTCAATATAAATGTATTCCAGAAAATTACTCCAAGCTCGATTTGCCTCCTCCTCCTCCTCTAACCACATCCAGGCGTGAATCAGGAGTGCCTGAGTTGTAATCCCTGGTGATGTGCAGATGTGTAAAAATGGTGACTTATGAGTTGCTCCTCCTCCTTCTCCAGTAAGAAAATAAATAAATAAATGGAAAGAAAAAAGAAAATAAGAAAAAAAAAAGAGACAAAAAAAAAAAAGAAAGTAAAAAAGAAAAAGAGAAGAGAAAAAAAGAGACAAAGGGGAAAAAAGGAAAATAAAACTAAAGAAAGAGATAAAAAGAAAAAGGAAAAAAAAAAGAAAAAAGGGGCAACGGGGAAGGGAAGAGAAGGGGAGGGAAGAGAAGGGGAGGGGAAAAGGAAAAGGAAAAGAAAAAGAAATAGGAAAAGGAAAAGGAAAAGAAAAAGAAAAAGAAAAAAGAAAAAAAGAAAAAAGAAAAAAGAAAAAAAATGGGAGAGAGAATTATTGCAGTAATCGGAGCGCTCTGCCTGGAGGCAGGGCACCATGATGAGACGTACGATGTGTTACAGATGGTGCGGTCCGGGTCCCACCGCCGCCCGGAACGCTTCCCCTCGGCTCAGTCTGCCAGCCGGTCCAGAGAGAGCAGAGCACAGATCCTCCTCTCATTGGTCACGGCTCCTCTCACGTGACGGAAGCCGTGGCGGTGATTGGCTGGCGGGCGTAGCTGGTTTCCCTGGCGCGAGGCGTCCGGGTGCCGCTATGGCGAGCGTGCACGAGAGCCTGTACTTCAACCCGATGATGACCAATGGCGTCGTGCACGCCAACGTGTTCGGCATCAAGGACTGGGTCACCCCTTACAAGATGGCGCTGCTGGTGCTCCTCAGCGAGCTGGGCCGCTCTGGCTCGCAGCTCGACCAGCTGGAGCGGCGGCGGCTCAACCGGCTGCTGCTGCCATTGCTGCAGGTGGGGAATGGGACCGGGGGGGTGGGGGGCCTGACTGGTGTTCTGTCGCGACGTGTTGCTCTCCTCATCATCCCTAGGGGCCTGACATGCCGCTGTCGCGACTGCGCAAGGCCATCGAGGAGTGCTGCCCCAACCTGGCCGGCTCCGTGCACATCAGGTGGGCGGCCTTCGTGGGGGGGGGGGGAGGACCTCGGTTGGGTCCTCAGCTCCGGTCTGCCCCCGTCAATGTGCTGTCTCTGTTCAGTGACAGGCGACACAGCCAGGACATGCACGCTCTCTGGTGTCTGTCCCCTTATCTGTGGATAAACACCTTTTCTGTTTGTTCTCATCCAGGCAGGTTGGGACCCTGGGCAGCATTAGCTGAGGGGGCAGCCAGCTCACAGCAGAGGGGGTTGCTGGGGTGGCTTTAAGGTCCCCCTCCACCCTCAAGTTAAGTCACTCTTTGATTCTGTGAATCAAACTTTTTTTTTTTTTTTTTTCTTTTATTTGAGTTCACTCATCTATACCTGAAGTAGAGGAATATTGTCTGATGCATAATATTTAAACCCTAGAAGAAGTGTTGTTTGTTTGTTTTCCTATTTAGGTTAAAACTCATAGCTGAAGGAGAACTGAAAGATATGGAACAATTTTTTGATGACCTTTCAGATTCATTCAGTGGAACTGAGCCAGAAGTTCATAAAACAAGTGTCATAGGTAACTAGCTGTCATCTCTAAGCTGCTGTTAGCAGCATTCACTCAAGATACAGCTTTGCTTTTCTTTTTATGGAGGAGTAAAGATTATAATATGATCTTTCTCTTTACTCAAATGTTTCGTATTAACCAATAATATTCTGTAGTGTGTACCTCTTGCTGACATTGTTCTGTGATCTGACAATCTGTGAGTTTTGCCACAAAATTAATTTGAGATTTATACTTGGCAGAACTAAGATTTATCAGTTGGTAGACTGAGATGAGATGCTTAACAACATTTAAGCTTCTGGCTATTATAATGATTTCTACTCTCCTCTCTGCAATAAAACTCCTACAGACCATTGTCACAGCATATGTTTTCCTTTCCAGGTCTATTTCTGCGCCATATGATCTTGGCATACAATAAACTTTCTTTTAGTCAGGTCTACAAACTTTACACTGCACTTCAGCAGTACTTTCTAAATGATGAGAAAAAATGTGGAATTGATGAGAATGATATGGAGCTGACTAATACAGAGGAACTGGATGGGAAAATGGAGAAAGAAGAACTTGATGTACCTCTAAGGTAATCTATGAATACTGAAATCTTTTCTAGTATGTCAGCAAATCGGTTATATTTCAAATTACAACTGTATGCATCAAGGTAAACTTGGGCTTCGTCCAGTTTCTACCCAAGATTTGACCCTGTTAAATGCCTTCCTGCTGCGGAGGAGGGGGAGAATGGGACAGTTATGTCACCTGTAGATTCAGAGGCTCTATTCAAAGGTTCTGTCTTTGTGTTGGTGAAATTGAAGGACTGTGAAGAGGTTGTGTCTGTTCGGATTGTTTTTCCTAGAGTCTGATGCACGCTGGCAGAGCTGGGTGGCCTTTCTGTCTCCTTGGTGCCACCGTGTGGTGGCATTTGTAAGTGGCAGCAGTTCTGCTGTTGCAGAAGATGGCGGTACTCCGTTCTCGAGCTCACCCAGGGAGCTGCAAACTGAAGGCCGATGCTGCCCACCGTTTGGTCCTGTGCAGCCCACTGCCGAATGAGTTCTTCCCATATCATGTTAGTGTGCAGTGTGCTAAAGCTGTTGGAGAAATCACTTCAGCTTCCAGTGCAGGGGAAGCAGAAAGACTCCTCTTAGGAAAAGCTAAACTTAACATTTTTGGTTTCTGTTTTTGCCCCTCCCCAAACAGATAAATACATTCATTGACATCAAATGTGAGAAGCAAACACTGAGCCATTTCACTTGCTTGCAAAGTGTTTCACCTTAAGAATAGTCCTGAAAGTGTTTTGTGTACATGTGTACTTAAAGATGTGCCTTATAAATGGTATTTAAGTAAGCTTGTGTTTATCCAAGCTCTGCTATAGCTTGTATCATTTAATGGTTTTTAGCATGTAGCTTTATGCTGTATGTCTGGTCTTTCCGTTGCAGAACATTTGTTTGCTGGAGTGATGGATGTGACCAAAATGCCAGTTCATTTCTTTCTGAACGTCTTCAGAAGGGGAAAACAGGGCAAACCATTGGAATTTGTCACCACCAATCTTATATCTGCTGCTTTTTAGTTTAGTTTTCTTGTGTATTTAGGGTAACAGTCTGACCACGGTCTCAGTGGGCCGAAGATTGCAACAGCACCATGTGAGATCTTTTGGATTGCTAACTTTGATGTGGCAGATTTTACTCTGAATTAAATTTTTTCT